ATGTATAAATTTTGATCAGATGTCAAATAGAAATGTAGACATGATATAAGCTCAGAAGTGTATAGTCTTTTATATAGTGGGGACAATTTTAGTATTTATGGGGGATTTGCTTTTGTTATCCACCCAGAATTCCTAACGTGTTAAGGGAAGCAGGATAATTTTGCAGATTTTAGGTGAGTGAATGAAGTGGGGTCTTCATTTCCTACCCCAGTCTATTAGGATGGCTTCAGGAGCATTAACCTTTCCCAGAGATGGTTTGAATCTGGCCAAATGGAATAACTGCTTTTATATATAAACATTGGGTAGCACAGATTATGTTGCTATCTTGTTTGATTATAGTATTGCTGGAATTTAAATTCAATGTTCTTGGGCTCTGCTATTCAGAAGTCTGCTGCTTTCATTCAATTGTATCTCTTTCAGTAAAATGATCAATCTGTCAGTGCCAGACACAATTGATGAACGAACAATCAACAAAAAGAAACTCACCCCTTTCACCATTCAGGTATGTCTTCCCACCATTGTTTTAATGTAGGATTTGCTTGGAATGCAGGTGCACCAGAACTGCTGAGTCAGCCTTTTCCAGTGCTCAGACATCATTCTCAAAACCCAGTCTTTGGGTGGGTGATTCGTCATACTTAGTGGGAACAGAGGCATACATTTCTGTAGCGGGGGGCAAAGGAGGCTGATGGAGTGTTAGTAGCTGAGGGTTGTATATTTTGGCCACTTAGGAATAAAATTCACATTGGCTACATTTTTAACTCAAACTTTCCCTACAATTTATCTTTGAGCTGATGCCAAAAACATAGCCTTTTAGCTGAAAAAATAAGCCTTTCTGAGAAGTTAGAGGTGAAAAACGGGAAATATTCTGGCAGCCTTTATAGCGGAATTGGCCACAGCCACAAGTGTAATAAATATAACTTGCTTTTATTCCTTCAATTTGTTGATGAACTGGAATAGTAACCCACAGTAAGTAAGCTGTATTTCTATGTTATGTTCCAATATTTTAACATAATTATAATTCTCTTGCTCAGAAACCATGTCTACCTTCTTAAATCATGAACAATATAATATCTCCTGTTTGGATTTAAGCAACCCTGTGTGCTTTCAGAACGAAAGTGGTAACCAAATTGAGAACAATGATTAAACATATGTGAATGCACTTAATGTTAAATTGATTCGTAATCTTGGCCATGGTAGAAACAGTATTTTTCACTTGTCATTTGAGCATGAGGGCAAGAACCTGCTTTTCTTCTGATAGTTCCCTTCTCAATTCACTGGTGGCCTTTGCTTTTTAATTTGTCATAAAAACAACTTATACACATTTTTGACACTGATACCTCCTCTTTTATGGACCCAAGAATAATACATAGACTTTAGACTGAAAATTCATTTACTCTATTCCAACTGTTAGTACCTACGTTGTTGTTGGTCATAAGAACATATTATCTGTGTATGTGTGTGTTCAGTTTTCCTAGTTATTATGGATACTCAATAAATTGAGCCAGTAAAAAACATTCCATTTTTCCCAGGAATTTGATTTGTATCTTTTTTAAAAATTTCCTTAATACCCAATCTGCAAGTCAAAAAGCTATTCTGGCCAGGCATGGTGGATTACGTGAGCTCAAGAGTTCAAGACCAGCCTGAGCAAGAGTGAGACCCGGTCTCTACTAAAAATAGAAAAATTAGCCAGGAGTCGTGGCATGCGCCTGTAGTCCCAGCTACTCAGGAGGCTGAGGCAGGAGGATGGCTTGAGCCAAGGAGTTTTGAGGTTGCTGTGAACGAGGCTGATGCCACCGCACTCTACTCAGGGCAACAGAGTGAAACTCTGTCTTAAAAAAAAAAAAAAA